GAGGCTGTCAGCAAGGAAGGCCAGTGGGCACCATCCAGTCTATTGGAATGGTCAAAGGTGTGGCTTCTGCGCCCTACACTCTGGAGGCGGAGGGATTCAAATAACTGTAGACAGCCCTTTTGGCTGAAGGGTACGACTTCTAAGAAATTTCACTTTGTGTTTCAGAATCCACAGAAAAAAGCGAGTGTGAGCTAACTGCCTTCAGCAATATACAGAAGTCTTTGCCACTTTGGAAAGACCAATGTGGGAAGACTGGCGTTAATCTCAAGTTGGAGAGAACCTAGAAGTTATGTGTAACCACCGCAGTAAGATAAGGAAGCATCAGTCCGAAAGGGAGAAAAAAACCTGGGGCTTTTTATTACTTGAAAGAAGTGGGGAGGAAATGGGAAGGGAGAGAACAAATATTTAAAATATCGGTGGAGGGGGCCTGGCTGGCCTAGTGGGTGCAGCATGAGACCCTTGATCTCAGGGTGGTGAGTTCAAGTCCCAGGCTGGGCATGGAACCTACTTAAACTAATAATAAAAAAAATTTTTTAATTAAAATATCAGTTGAGCTATTATGCCTCCTACTCAGCCAGATGTGAAACTCAGAGTCTATGGATAGGTCTTGGGAAGGTTTTATTGACACTTTTGATGAGATCTCCAGTTGTGATTGCACAGGCATACTTGTGTCTGTGTATGTTAGGGCACATGCACATTTGAATAAACCACGGTGACTATGTTTTAACCCAAAACAACAACAACAGAGATTCTCATAAGATGGAAGTCACCTTCTTGATAGGGCCATAAAAAGAACCAGTCAACAGGAAAGAACCTGGTCATTACAGCAGAGCTCCCTTTGATCCTGGGACACTGCATGTTTGGCATCCCAACGGACAAGTCTGAAAGCACTTTCTGATCAGGAGAGAAAGTACTGCACTCTCCTGTACCTGACTAAAGTTCCTTTACTACCCAGTGTTCATGGCTTCCCCTCCCCGATTCAATCACTGCATAGTGCTTGAGGACTCGTGCTTATCTTGAACTCACTGGATCCTTCAGTGGAGGCAGGAGCCTTGGTCTGTTCCCCTCAAGAAATGGATCCTATGTTGGACTGCTACAGTTCAAATAAGAAATGCTCAGAGACTCACAAGCCAGGTGTCTCAGCTTTCCCAGTGGGGTACCAACTTTGCCACCCACTTTATTGTCCTGTATCTGAAGCAAGTAGATAAGCACCCTTTTGGAAAGATGCCTGATACAGATAAATGCGATGTTTGTCTGGCACATGGTTATCCCTTCCCTCTTCAGCATAGAATGTTAGTATTCTAGGCCCTAGCATTCTGCAATACTGCTGGAGAGTTTAACCTTGAATTTTCTGCTATCTTTACCTTGCCAATAGTCCAGCTGATGAAAATTTATATACAAGCAGGAAATTCAAGACCCTGATACTCATAGTGTGGTCCACAGGCACCAGCAGCATCAACATCTCCTGGTAACTTATTAGAAATGCAGGACCTCAGGCCTCTTGAATTGGAGTCTTAACTAGTTCATCAAAGGTTAGAGAATTTTGAGAAGTACTTTATGTTCCAATCTGTGTGTCAAATGCTGTATGCTCAGTTTTAGGGCATTTGAAAATTCCCACCAGAATCCTTCTGGATCAGTAGAAGACTTGCATTACACTGCAATGTAAAGTTCTTTCCCTAGCTCCAATAGAGAGCCATCCAGGTATTGGCCTGTGGCCCCCTTTTGCATGTGCTGTAAATATCTTGCTAAAATTAAATACTAGGGGCACCTGGGTGGCTCAGTCGTTAAGTGTCTGCCTTCAGCTCAGATCATGATCCCAGAGTCCTAGGATCGAGCCCCACGTGGGGCTCCCTGCTCAGCGAGAGGCCTGCCTCTCTCTCCACTCCCCCCTGCTTGTGTTCCCTCTCTGCTTCTCCCTCTCCCACTCCCCCTGCTTGTGTTCCCTCTCTCTCTGTCAAATAAATAAATAAAAATCTTTAAATAAAATACATTAAATTAAATACTAGCAAATAATATGTTCCTTTCAATGAATGTAGCAGATAGTCCTTTCGGCATTTATTGAGACCTTACTTAAATATTTAGTTCCTTTATGGTCTCACATGTTAATTACATCATTCATTACAGTAATGCAAAGTACTGTGATATGTTTATACTTGCAAGTTTTCTAAAGTAAATGTTCAAAGGAAAAGGAGAGGAGGGTAATCACTTCCCTCATTTTCAACAGGAAGAATCAAGCCTCTTATTTTTAATTTGTATTTTTCCCTTACAATGTTCATCAGCTCAGGAAACCAGCCTATTATCTTTAAGTCAGACCTATAGGAACTCAGACCACTATCTCTAGTAACAATCCAGGAAGCCAAGCAATAATCCTGTAATAATCAGTCCCAAGCGGCCAAGATTTGATTAGTAACTGACAGCTTTCCTAACACTTTCCTTGCTTCCAACTTAGGACCAACCGGGGAAAGCCAAATATGCACCCCTAACCGATCACAAAGGACACCTTGCTTCTAGACAGACTGTCTACAGCTTCCCCATGCCAACAGCCTACAATCAAGGCACACCTGAAGCCTTCCTTTTTTTCCACTGTAAAGCTTTCTCACTTTTCCGTCTGCCTTTGAGTCTCTGCCAAAACTCAAGTGACTACAGCTGACTTCCCTGGGATAGCAAGCTCTGAACAAATAGCCTTTGCTTGACATTTCGTTGGTCTTCATTTATTTCCACTCTAGAGTTTAAATTTTGCCAAATAAAAAGTTGAGGGAAAATGGAAGAAATACAGACAAATAAAGAAAAAACTAATTAAAAACAATCCTAAGATCACTAGTAGGGGTCAAGTTAGAAGTCAAGAACTTCTAACTGGCCAGAGCACTCTGAAACTTGCCTTTTGGATGTTGTTCTCTGGAACAGGCTAGTGGAATGTACTCTTGGAACCTCCTGAGTCAGGCCAACCCTAGTGAGCTGAGGGCAGCTGCATGGCTGGAAGAATGAGAAAGATTGATGTAAGGTCCTGAGACAAACTTCAGGGGTAGGAAATAGACCTTCTGTAGATAGGGTCTATTGCGCAAAAGTTTATTTATCCTGTGAGAAGAGTGAGGACCTGCCCCTGAAGATGATCTCTGTGAAGGAGAGACAAAACAAAACAAAACAAAAACCACATCATGCCCATGGGTATTGCCCTGGCTTCTCCTCCTGGAATGCTCCTTTGAGCATTTTAAATTCCTTTTAGATGTGTGACGAGCAGTCTATGGTTATATGGAAGAAATCAGTCCATACGGGGAAGAGAAGTGAGCTTGCTGAGTTGTGGCAGGATGAGAATAAGGAAACAGAGTCTAGGAAAGGGTAAGAGGAGCCAAGAACGCAACAGGAGAATAAGAGAGGAGGGGAAACAGCGAGCAGGGAGGGGAGGAGAAAGCTGCTGGGGGGGGGACAGTTTTGATGCGTTAGCAATTTTGTGTAAGGCCAGTGTCTCTGAATAAAAGGACAATAATAAAGATGGTAATAACAGTGATGAGAGTAATGAGCCCTCATTTCCAAAACAAGGATCCTTCTTCTCTGCAAGGTTAAATAACTGACCCAGGTGTTTTCTAACCACTACACTACACACTCAGTGTCTACACACACCAACACAACACTCCACCTATGAGTCAACATTTGTTTTGGTTTGATTTTCCTGCCCCAGAGAAAAAGTCAAGCGCCCTGCCAGTTCCTTAAGAATTATGACACCTGTCTTTAGGTCCAAAGGGATGACCATGCTGATTACCTTGGAACTTTCCAGTAGTAAAATGCTTTGTGTAGGCAAATGGGTTACAGCAACCGATTCTGGATTCTCCAGAGCCGAGCAGTCAGTTCAAAGCCCTTTTTTTTTTTTTTTTTTTTTAAGATTTTATTTATTTGTCGGGGGCGGGGGGGTGGGAGCAAAGCCTTGCAGTTCTCTTGCAGATGAGGATATTGTTGGGTAGAGAAAGACTGAGGTTTGAGCCCCATGGGAGCATTGGGAGGAACAGCCCTTGTCAGGCCACAGAAGATCCTATCACCATCTTGGCCCTGAACAGTTGGATATGTTCATCTTATCTTAGGGCAACATTGTGAGGCCTCTCCATGACTCATCCCTGAACCAAGAATCCCTGCCATAAATGCCTGACTTTGCCTATCTAGAGATTTCTCTTCCTTAAAAATTTCTAAGTTCGGCAGCATCATGTTTAATATTGACAGTGAAAATTAAAGGACACAGTGGTTGCCAGGTGAACTGCATGCAGTATCTCTCCCTATCGGATGGGGGCCCCCACATGTGGGGTGATGATGATATGGTGGAAGTCAATGGTGCCTGAGATGAGAGAATTCACTTGAAGCAGGACAAAGGAGATAGAAGTTTCTCGAATACACCTTAAGACAGCTGCAGGTAGGAGAGCAAAGGACACAGACAGCAAGGGGGGAGTAGTGGGCAGCTGTATTTAAAGGGGGAAGGTGAGGAGGTATGCGGAATGTATGGACTTTCCCCTTTTTTGATAACTGTGCCTGGTTGTAAGTAGCCCTTTGGTCAGTGAGGGCTTATGGGTATTCTGATGTGGGTCACCTCACGGGCTTGTCTGTATTCAGCCAGGGGTTATCAGGGACCCTTCTACCTCGATCAAGTTTCCGTTGCTCAAGCCTGCTGCCCGAAAGCAGCCTCTGCACTGTGGAGACCCAGGGCCCTGGGGCCTCAACCCAGCCAGAACCAAAGAAGCTGTGGAAGGTTCTTGGTCTTGTTATGGGAAATAATTCAAGGACAAACACGCAACACAGCAGGCGAGAGGGCAGCACAAGCAAGAAAGTTTATTCAGGCAAAACACGCGCTCGAAATACGTGCTCAGGCGAGCTCAAGAGTGACATCAAGAAGTGCACTGCGTCCCCGGGGTTTGGGTTTCTGTGTTCTGCCTGCAGTTGTAAACCAGGGGGAGGAATATTCATTAGTTGGCGTGAGGAGCAGGGTTTCCCACTTTTTCTTTCTAACTGGCTTAGGGGTTTCCTGTCTTGGCCTCCACCATCTTGGGCCCCAGAGGTTTGGTGGCCCCCCTGCAGGGACAGGCCTCTGACTGACAGCTGGCCATGATTTCATCTTTGCCGACCTCCCAGGCATTCTGTTAGAACCTAACTAACCGCCTACTCGAACACAATGAATCACAGGCTTACAGATTTCTGATAAACTTTAAGATCGTGGACAAATGAAAACGTTAAAAAATAGTGGGTACAAGAGCAGGTGGGCAGAGAGTCTAAATCTTACTAAACAGAATTGGTTCACTCCTTGGGGTTGCATGAAGGAGCGCTTTTTTCCCCAGTGTTCTCATCTATGATTGTATTTGCAGTAAGAAAAAAGTACAAGATCTTTCTTAATCAATTTTTAGTTCCTGTTTACTAGTTATATAAACAAGGTTTTCAAAACGTGAAAATCCTTTTTTAAAAACTATATTATTTTCATATCAAAGATGTATATAAATCTGTATATGTCTTTAAAGAAGGATTAAACTCTTTCTCCCCATTACCCTTTTTCCCTACTTGATCCTACCCCTCAACCTTTGTGAGGGAGGCATTAATTCCAAAATACAAAGTTCAGGTTTGGGGCTCTGGATTCAGAAAGGACAAAACCGTGGTAAATCTCTTTTCACCTTCCCCAGATTTTACCACAATAGCAAGTGAACGGAGTGTGTAATCTGTCCATCAGACACCCTCTCTATGCGCCTCTTATTTCTCAGGTGGGTCTCCCGTGTGCCCAAACGTCTGGAATTCCTGTATCTGCATCCTTTCTGGGCACCAGAGGCACAGGAGGCAATGTCCCAGGAGAGCATCAAGATGAGAGACGACAAGACAGCCTGGTAGTGGCTGTACTCAAAACGGAGTCTTTTAGAAGCGTTGACAGAACATGAAGAAAATCTAATTTTGTGGGAGAATATCTTGGATTTTTGCTCGGGTCAAACAAGTTCTATTTAATGCTTCCCAGATGCTGGCTTTACTATATGCTTGTATAAGATCAGAGGTAGAGAAGTATTGGGAAGGAAAAGGCTCCATAGCTCAGGGGTTAGAGCACTGGTCTTGTAAACCAGGGGTCGCGAGTTCAAATCTCGCTGGGGCCTGTGGTCCTTTTTTCTCCGAATCTCGTTCCAGACGCCGGCAGGACGGTCAGAGGGAGGGTTCCAAGGCCACAGACCATCCCAGGTCTTCCGCAGCGCCTGCGGAAACGTTCAGGCAGTGCCCGATCTACTTCCCCTGCTGTTCTCGGGTTCTGGGTCCACCATGGCAGCTGATAAAGGATTTCTGTAGCGTGAGGCTTAGGCTTTCTGGGTAAACAAGCACGCATTCCTTCCGACAGAAGGCACTCGAATACAGTTTTTCTGGAAACGCCTAGCGACGGGAACGAGCCTTGAGGCAGAGTTAAAAATCGCTTGTAGGATGGCTCGTTGGTCTAGGGGTATGATTCTCGCTTAGGGTGCGAGAGGTCCCGGGTTCAAATCCCGGACGAGCCCACGTTTTTGCCTCGATTCACTTGTTCACAGTATTTCCATCATTGCATTTTGTTCTCTCTACTCTGCTTTAGAAAGTTGCAACGGAAGGCTTCCTGACTGTTGTGAAATAGCAAAGTAGACACAGCCGCGAGCTGGCCTTTGATTTCTGCCTGACCAAGTGCTTCCTCACTCTCCTGGGCCGACGGGCGGGCGGGTCGGAGGGCGGATCATTCTACCGCCTCTGAGTGCCTCCGTCGCGAAATGGGAATGGTAGCGCTTTGCCGTCCCCTGCCTGACTCCAGGGATCTCGGTCAGTCACATAAAATAGTGTATGGGAAATTTCTTGGAAACTTTATATAGTGCCAAATATACGGAGCTGTTTTCTTTCCTGAGAAGGAACTGGGGCTGATGCATGCTGACATTGTCACCGTTCTACAAATGCATGATGCGTTAGCCTTTAAAAGACTTTTTAGGTGTGGTCACATAGCAGTGTCTTTCTTTTTTTCTTTTCCTTCCTCCCTCCCTCCCTTCTTCTCACTCATTCTGTTCTGGCTACACTGACCTTCTGACTCTTTCTCAAATACACGGCCCTTGTTTCCTGTTCTGGACCTTTCACTTGCTGTTTCCTCTTCTTGGAATATAATTTCCTCAGATATTTGTTTAACTTCCTCTTTAATTCCTCCTATGCTCAAATGTCACCTCTTTAGAGACAACTTCCTTGATCACCCTTTCCAGAATAGCCCCCAATTGTCACTATTCCCTACATTATTTTCTTTACAGCACTTACGTTTGTTTCTTTTTTTTTCTTCCCTTTTCCCCCTATTACGATTTAAGCTCCAGAAGGCCAAAGATTTTATTATGTTTGCGGCTGTGTCCTAAGCACTTAGCACTTTATATGGTATGTAGTGGGTGATTAATGTGTGAATGAATGAATGAATGAATGAATGTTGCCATATTCCTGGACATACCTGCTGGCCTCCAGAAGCCACAATTAAACAACACTTATTTCTGGCTTCTGTAGACTCATATTAAAATCTTCCCAAAGGATAGGAACAATGGCTATGGGATTAAATTAAAAATGGAAAGCCTAACTTGATCATCTCTCCACTTGGGCCCAGGTTTCTTTTCAGAAACTACCAAATTGCTTATCTGCAGACATGAGAATTACAAATGTCTGTATTGATAAATAATAAGACTTTCATATAGACTTCTCTGCTCCCTGAGGCTTTCTGGAGACAATGTTTGATCTTTTCTCATCTAATCTGTAGTGGAGTTTCAACCCAGATGGGAGAAAATAAAGGGTAGGTCCTGTAGTCTTAAATGTGGCAAAATATGTATTTAAGCAATGGAAACACTTAACATTTTTTGACCACCAGACTCTGCGCTAAGCACCTTACGTGTATGAACTAATTTTCATGAACTTTCCATGAGGTACACAGTGTAATAATCTCCACTTTACATGTCAGGAAGCTGAGGCACAGAGAACATAAGCCACCTGCCTAAGGCCACACAGCTAGTAATGTGAGAACTGCAGCTCTGGTTTTCTAAGTGCAGAGCTGGCCCCTCAGCATCCTCCCCACATCACTGCATTGCCTTCCTTAGAGGGCATTTCTCTTCTGCTTGATGATGTCTTTTGCGATGGTATGGCTTACTCTTCCAGTTTGGTCAGTGGGCTTCCCTTGTGCGCAGGCATTATGCTTTATTCATCTTTTCTGTACTCCTCAACGGTTGAAGAGTGTCAATAACAAAACAAGAGATCCAACTTTGCTCTTCCGTTGAGTGAAGAAAGGCAAAGCAAAGGTTATAGGTTGATGATATTAAAGGACTAGTACTTTACCTCTGGGAAACCATGGGTTCAAAGGCATCATTATAACCTTGCGATGGTATTATGGTCTTTAATAAGAACTCTGAGATTTGAAAGGCTAAAAAATATGAGAATTTGCAAAACAGTGCACACCCAGAATCCCACCAACTAGAGAAAGCGGTTGGGCGCGCGAAAGGAAGCGAAGAGATTCACTGCTCTAACGTGGCTACACCAAGGCAATCATCGCTGTCACAAACTGTTTCAAAAAAAAACCGGTTGGCAGCGGTGGGATTCGAACCCACGCCCCCGAAGAGACTGGAGCCTTAATCCAGCGCCTTAGACCGCTCGGCCACGCTACCTGACGACCATAAACGCCGAGACACATTCTCTACCCTTTACCTCTTCCCCGCTCCCGCCCTCCACTCCATGGTTCACCTGTTTGCAGTTTGCCCGGGTTCTTCTTTTTTTGCATTCCTTCCTGGTTTGTTTGGCTTTCTTCTTTCACGCCGCAGTATTTGAGATTGGTGGAAAGAGCCGTACCGCTCGGCCCGTCCCGAGACAGGATAACCTCCGCGAGGTCTAGGTGTTCGGAGCGCCTGCCCGAGGCCGGGCACAGGCGGGTCCCCCGGGAGAGTCGGGGCCCTCTCCGGTCTCGCGGGCCCCCCCACGGAGGGCGTCACGCGGCGGGAGCTGTCGCTCCGCCACCGATGCCGAGTGCGGGGCCGGCCGGCGACGCCCGGAAGGCGCGTCCCGTGGAGCCTAAGGTCGGGCCAGAGACGCCCGAGGCTGGCCGAGCCCGGGAGCCGTCAGCAGGGTGCCGAGGCCGGGAGGAGCGGGAGGCTCCACGCCCCCCCCGGCGAGGCGCGTGCTCCCCTCCGCACGCCCCCGGGGCCGCCCCGCAGCCCGTGACCGTCCCTGAGGCGAGGGCCTCCCACCACTCCCGCAGCATCTCTGGCTCCCTCCCAAGCGAAAACGTGCGGGAATTATTCTCGTTGATGCCGGGTGTTTCCTGAAACAGATCTGTAGTCTAGGGGCACCGCCTTCCGGAATTGGGGCGAGGGAGCCTGCAGTGATTGGTTCATCCACTAGACGTCACTCTATGCCCACAGTTGCAAAAAGGAGACTTTCCAGCCAACTGTGGACGTGGCTAAAATTTTCCTTACTAAACTTTGGAAATGTAGAAAGAGTTATGTGCGGCTCGTTGGTCTAGGGGTATGATTCTCGCTTAGGGTGCGAGAGGTCCCGGGTTCAAATCCCGGACGAGCCCTGTTTTTCTCCTCTTGTCACCATCAGACTTCAGGGAGCACCTTGTGTAATGTTACTGAACGGACACCCGCGTATGCTCCACTAGTTCAGATTTATATACTTAATCTTCAGACAAGTGCTCTTGGTATTACTAAATCAGGATGAATACCAGATGCTTTTACATATAACTTATATAGCATTTCTTTTACAAAATCACTATTTCTAAAATCGACCATCATTTCTCTTCAGCTTTTTTTGTTATCCAAAAATCATTCATTCGGGACTGGGTGAGGGGTGTTTTATATCAATAATTTTGCATAACCCTCAGTTTTCCCCCACTGCAATCATGGGGGCCCTTCTTTGGGTGCTAGGACCGCCGAGGGTCAGCGAATGCGGCAAGATGTCTTGTCCCATAAAACCTGGGCTCCCTCACTCCTTCAGGCCTAACATTCCGGGGACCTTGTGCCTGTGGGCGTCGGGGAGTCTCAGGTGCTGTAGCACGGCGGGATGAACTTCTAACCAGGATGCTCAGGCCTGCCGCCCTATTAGACTCACCTGTGGAGCTTTTTAATCATTCACTGGTTTGGGATCCAACCCCAAACCAATTAAATTGGATTTTGTGAGGATAGGCCCTTGGCATGGTTATTTATTAAAAGCTCCCCAGCTATAATTAGGGTTGGTCTGGGAGCTACAGCTGCCACACAGTTGCTCTCCAGGCCACAGCTGGACACTGTGCCCAGGACCCCAGTAACTCTAGGTATCCTGCATCCCATCCACCCTCCTCAGAATCACCCCCTTCCAGCTGGGACTTCATCTGGATAAGTTTAGTTCTGGGTGTAACCATGTGCCAAACTTAGTTTCTCTGTGACCCTCCTTTCTCTCCCAGGCCACAGAAACAGAGTGCTAAGAGCAGGAAACTCCAAAAGAAAAGAGGCGGCCCAGTGGGTCAGCATGCTTGGTTTGAGGGGGGACCAGTGGAAATATGCCTGGCTTTCAGTCCTTCTAGAAAGGACTAGACCCTAGCATCACGCCTTCCCCCCACTCCCTAACTGCCGGGTATTCAGTGCTCACATCCTCCTATTTCAGTTAGATGTACCCTGACTCACCTGACAAATGAGAGCTAGAAACCACAGGTATTTTTCACCTCACTCTTAGCTATGCTGTTGAGTATTTAACTTCTGGTACCTCTTCAATATTTGGAGGAACTGCAAAATAATCTTGGAATCACCCATTAGCCCTCTCTCACAACCCACATTCAATCCTTTACCATACGATGTTGGCTGTACAGTTAGAATCTTTCCAGAATCTAAACACTTATCACCTGCGCCACCCCCGCCGTAGCTTAAGCTGTCACCAACTGTCAGCTGTGCTGTTGCAGTGGCCCCTTTCAGGTCTCTGGCTGGCCCTTGTGCCCCTTCAGGCCATTCTCAACAGAACAATCTCGTTGAAACCTAGGTCAGAGCTGGTCACTGCTCTGCCTAAAACCCTCTGTGCATCTTCATTTCATTCAGCGTAAAATCAAAGCTCTTTGTCATGGCTTAAAAAATCTCTACATGATTTTGCCGCTTCTTGGACTCCCCTCACTTCACTGACCTCATCTCCTACAGCTTACTCCTTCCAGGTGGCAGCATTCCAATGACATTAGCCCCTAGTGTGCCTCAGAAATTCCCACCTCAGGGCCTTTGCACATGCCCTTCTCTCTGTCTTGAGCCTTATCTCCCTCCTGCCTGCATGGCTCAGTTCATTGCTTTTAAGCCCGCTGCACAGATGTTATTACCTACCAGAGAGGACTTCTCTGACGACCCACATGAGATAGCACCCACCTCTTTGCTCTCTGTCTGCTTTTCCCTAAGTTCCCTCTTTGCACATACCGCCACCTGACTTTGGCTGCTGCTGTTGTTGCTTTTCTTAATTCTCCCTCTCCCACCACCAGAACGGCAGCTCCATGAGAATAGGGTTTTTTACTGCTGACGTCTCAGAGGCTGAAACAGTTCTTAGCACCTGATACTTGATAAATATTTGGTTAATGCATTGTGTGAATTGTTTTAAATCACAAAGTTATACAGGCTGGTAAGGAACGCCTGATCCTGTGGCACCAGGGGAGGTAGGAGCAGGGAGGTACTGGGGGCTTGAATGGAGAGAGGGCTCCTGCAGTGGGGGGAATGTTCCATCTTTGGGAAAGGCTGAGGGTGGGGGCATGCCTGGAATATATTCTGTGGCAGCTCTCCTTTTGGGCCACAGTATGCCCTATCAATGTTTTAAAGAAGCCGTGAAAGGCTCTTCCAGCTGGACATACAGGAAGGCACAAAATAGGCTCTGGGGAGCTGTGAAGTGGGTACCAGTGCCATTGATTTCCTGGTGCAAACCTGCTCCAGGCAGAGCGGCTTAAATACAGGGCTGCTTTAGGCTTTGATCACTTTCAGCCAATTCTGAACCAGATGGTATTTGGGGGTTACACTGTAAGGTGTCAAATCAAATACTTGATTTGATTAGATGAAGAACAAAAGTCCACAATAGGGACACGAGAGAGGAAGAGGCAAACGAAGGTTAGGGAAGGAGTTGTACAACCAATGGGACTTCACCAACCTCATTTGACCATCATTTGTGATGAGGGATCACTATGAATATGAGTCCTAAGGAAATATTGCTGGCATGCTAGGAGGATTTATGGAACAGAGGGTGAGAACCTCTGCTGGTCACAAAACATGCACGGAGAGGCAGTGTCTGCTCTCTGGAGCTATGAATGCAAGCTGGAATCTGCCTGCCCCCTTGTGGTCATAACAGGTACTGTCATGGGTCTTCTTTGTAGGGGTCTTAAAGGAGAGACAGTAGATTAAAGCTAATTTCTGGGGACCCCACTACTTTTTGCTGATCCTTCTGTGTGCATGATATGAAGGCGGAACTTATAGGGAAGAGACCTGTGTTATCATCCCAGGAGATGGTGCTCATGCAGTTAAGCTGAACTATTTTTTTTAAGTAGGCTCCACACAGGGTGCAGCCAAAGTGGGGCTTGAATTCACAACCCTGAGATCAGGACCTCAGCTGAGATCAAGAGTTGGACCTAACCAACTGAGTCACCCAGGTGTCCCTAAGCTGAATTATTTATTAAGGTGGATGGCATCTCTTGGATCTGGAGGGAAATCAGAAAATTGAGCCAGGACTGCTAGCAAAACTCTGGAGTTGGTCTTTAACAGCTGAAGTGAGTTGTTCAGAGAGAGAATCTTAGATTTGAGGCTTGAATAGTAATTAGAGGTGAACCAACGTTTGTCCTTCCTTTCATTGATCTTTCTGATCTTATGTTTGTGTGGTGCTACAGGGTCCTACCCAAAGTATCAGAAAAGATGACTGAGTTTTACAAATAGCTTTCTGATGCTAGCATTAAAAGAGCAAAATCTTTTAGGTCATTCACTCTTGCCTTCTTCTACTCAATCAATATTTACTAAACATTTATTGAGCGAACATTGTCAAACATCTATTATATTCCAGGTACTGTGCTTGGAACAGAGATTACTGCGGGGAACCAGACAGATGTGGTTTCTACCCTCACGAAACAACCAGATAATTTTAGAAACCAGGAAATATAAGAAATTTATTGTGCCAGTGATAAGGGCCACAACGAAAAGATACAGAGTAGTATGCAAGCAAAACAGAGGCTGTTCACTTACTCTGCGGTTTCTGGGAAGACTTGTCTGAGGAAAGGAGGGACCCACAGGATTTAACCAGGTAGAATGGGGACAGGGAGTGGAGTCAGGAATATTCTATAATGAGAGAACTAGATGTTAAGAACCTTGAGCTGGGGGATGCCTGGATGGCTCAGTCGTTAAGCATCTGCCTTCGGCTCAGGTCATGATCCCAGGGTCCTGGGATCGAGCCCCATATCAGGCACCCCGCTCGGCGGGAAGCCTGCTTCTCCCTCTCCCACTCCCCCTGCTTGTGTTCCCTCTCTCGCCATGTCAAATAAATAAATTAGAAATCTTAAAAAAAAAATAAATAAATAAGGCACAAGGGGCGCCTGGGTGGCTCAGATGGTTAAGCGTCCGCCTTTGGCTCAGGTCATGATCCCAGGGTCCTGGGATCCAGCCCCGCATGGGGCTCCCTGCTCAGTGGGGGGCCTGCTTCTCCCCCTCCCTCTGCTTCTCCCCCTGCTCATATTCTCTCTCTCTCTCTGTATCTCTGTGTCTCGAATGAAAAAATAAATAAAAAATAAAATAATAATAACAATAAGAAAGAACCCTGAATTGGAAGGAAGCTTGGTGAGTTTAGGGAACTGAAAGGAGGAGTGTATGGAGGGATAGAGAGAGTGGTTTGAGGTGAGACTCTCTATACAAGGTCTGGTAGGCAGAGGCCAGGACGGTGGTCATTATTTTAATACTTACGAAAAGCCATTGACACATTTTTGGTGGGGATGGGGGTGCACACCACAGGCCCAGAACTAGATGTGTGTTTTAAAAAGATTACTGTGGGGGCGCCTGGGTGGCTCAGTTGGTTAAGCGACTGCCTTCGGCTCAGGTCATGATCCTGGAGTCCCAGGATCGAGTCCCACATCGGGCTCCCTGCTCAGCAGGGAGTCTGCTTCTCCCTCCGACCCTCTTCCTTCTCGTGCTGTCTATCTCTCATTCTCTCTCTCACAAATAAATAAATAAAATCTTTAAAAAAAATAAAATAAAAATAAAAAAAATAAAAAGATTACTGTGGTATAATAAGGTTGACAAAAAGCCATGGGGGAGCCCCGTTTCAGCTTCTACAAAGCACAGAGTCCTGCATCAGGAAATGTTATGGCTGGATGGCTTTTACCAACTCTAAAATGATCAGCTGCTTTCACCTCATGCATTCCAGTTCCCAGCCACTATTAGAGGAGGTCGGTGAGAACCACGGAATTAAGCTCAGGGCCACAGAGCTAGTTAGTGGCGGAGCCAGTGTCAAGACAGGAACCTAGCCTTCGGGCTCCCAGGCCCTGTTCACAACTTGGGGCTTTGCCCTGTGAGGCTGAGACAGAGAAGGGAGCTGGTTTGTTTGTGTTTTTAAATGAACCTGATTCTTCAGGGCCTCAATGATTATGTGGGGTCAGGGGACAATCATTCCTCTTCTTTCAGGGAATCTTATCTGATTTTCAGGGGAGATGGAACTGGCCTGGAGAGGAGAGCAGAGCCGGGGAGTGTATGAAAGATCTGACTGTCCTTGGAGGTGCTCTGGGGAAGGCTGGGTTAATGGTCCTTCCTCAGTGAGCGTTCAAAGGAAGCTGCTGGAGGGCTCGGCCTGGGGACACACATGAGAAGCCAGATATGCTAAGATCAAAGCATTCTCAGAAGTGGAAATCTGAATGGACAGGGGGCCTACCAAGTAGCTGTTAGAAAGACAGGCTTAGAGGGAACACTATATCAAAAACTGATGATGTAATGTATGGTGACTAACATAATAAAATTAAATAAAATTTAAAAAAGAAAAAGAAAAGAAAGAAAGACAGGCTTAGGCAACCTCACCTTCAGGCTGACCTCTCCTGGGCCATGGCCAGGTGGCAGTCATTTCAGAGATACACATAAAGTTACAAAACACAACAAAAAAGGCTTCCTTTGACCCCAAGGGAGAACAGGATCTCCCCTGTTCACAACTTGGGGCTTTTCACTGCGAGGCTCAGATTGAGAGCCTCTGATCTGATTCTGAACACGGCCTGCCCAAGTCAGGAGCAGCTTGTTCTTGGACACACACCAGCTCTAGTCTGATGCTCTCACCTGGACAAAGCCAGTGGGAGGGCAATTGGCAAGTGGCCCAGGGGCTTAGAAAGGTATCTCCTGAATCCTGTGGGTAACAGCTTGTCTAGGGAACTGCTCTGCAGTTGCCAAAGGTAGCCAATGAAAACCTCAAGAATAGGACTGCTTCATGCTTCATGCCCCCCCTTTTGGGTAATAATAAGTGTTCTTGATTTGGGCAGGTGTGTGTCCCTTTGAGCAAAATGTCAATTTCCTAAGCCATTTCACAGGGTTACTCCATGTCTACCATATTCCTGAATCAGAGTTCCACCTCCCCACTTCTGGGCCTGGTGGCCAGGAGCCAGCCCCCCATTTCCCCACTGCTCACCCTAACTCCAGGATGAGAGGTGGAGACCACATCTCTACTCCCTCTGTGTGTGTGGGGGGGGAATAGAAGTTGTAGCCAGAAAACTGTCACTGAAGAGAATAGCCATCGGGGTCATTTAAATTTAGCTCAGGGCGCCTGGGTGGCTCAGTCATTAAGCATCTGCCTTCGGCTCAGGTCAAGATCCCAGGGTCCTGGGATCGAGCCCCACATCGGGCTCCCTGCTCCGCGGGAGGCCTGCTTCTCCCTCTCCCACTCCCCCTGCCTGTGTTCCCTCTCTCCCTGTGTCTCTCTCTGTCAAATAAATAAATAAAATCTTTAAAATAAATAAATAAATTTAGCTCAGAAACTCACTTTGTGACAGCAGAAAGGGAACCTTATGGAGTCAAATTCTTCCTTTATTCTTTTCTCCTACCTCTACTTGAGAAATGAGAACTCAGACTCAGAGGTGACACACTTTCCCAAGATCACACAGCTAGTTTGTGACAGAGGAAGAAGAGGACCCCAAGTCTTTCACTTTTTCGTCTGTTGATCAACACCAGACAGAACCGCAAGCTGCGGAATAAATGTATGTTTATTTAGGGTCTTAGGGATGGCCATCTGGAAGGCACCGAGTGGACCAAAAGTGTGCTCTGCAGAGACAAAGGAGATTAGGGTATTTATTTATTTTTTTTTAAGTTTTTATTTATTTGACAGAGACACAGCGAGAGAGGGAACACAAGCAGGGGGAGAGGGAGAGGGAGAAGCAGGCCTCCCG